TAAATGTTAATATTTAAGAGTGCATATTGTTATGCCAAAATTTAATATATCACTTGGTCATGTTGTTCCATGAGAGAAATGACCCTTAGTGCTTGGTTCTAGCTACTTGAACCTTTACTACTTTTTGAATAGCACATGAAAGTATTAGAGAAGAAGTTGCAAGTTAAAGCATTATTTTGATATGGTAATTGTGATAGTAGAGAATCGTAGAATAAGTCATGACATACCATTATGCCATAATGAATTTGCAAGTTTGTATATGTGAATTTGAAAAGCATATTAAAGAATGGGCTTGATCATGCATATATTTTGCACATGATATATATGCATAGCCTTGATTTAGTAAATGAGAATATGAAAGAATATGTTAGCAAGGAATATGAAAGAATATGTTAGCAAGGAATGAGAAAGAAAGAAAAGAAAATGACTAATAATTTTCTTTTAAGTTAACATGCAAGTATGTATATTTTCTCATTTACTAAAGAATGCAAGTGTAGAATTTCCATAGCTTGGAAATTTATGTTGAAATGTGCATAGTATCTCTTTCTATTCTCTTTCTACAGCATACTATGTTATAAGGTTTTTGCGATGGGGAACCCGTGAGTGACAGAGATGCTCACATACATGTTGCCACGAGCGAGCAGCATTAGCAGAGAGATACAATATTTGTACAGTCTGTCAGTAGTGTATGTGTATACAGATTGTACCCAGCAGAGCATACCTACATGCACGTTGCCACGAGCGAGCGACCACAACAGAGAGATATAGTACTTGTATAGTCTGTCAGCAGTGCATGTAGATGAGGATTGTACCTACTCACATGGCCAAGGTTTTAAATCCATGCATCAATCTAGTTTGATTGGCAAACCAGAATAGAAGAAAGAAAAGAAAGAGATACAACATAAGAGATAGAAAACAGAAAACAGAAAAGAAAAGAAAGTTCTTTTCTCAGGAAAGTTTATTATTCTTCATATGTATTATGCTACTTACGTGATTCAGTATTTCTTATGTGCTCGACGATGTACAATTTTATTCATTGTCTTTGCATGTTTATAAGTAGCAAATCAGAATATCAGAAAAGAATGCAGAATATTATCAAAGAATAAAGTGAGAAAAGAAAAATCAAAACATGAGTAACGGAGGAAGAACAGTAGTACAGTTTGGTTTACTTACTAAGCAATTAGTGCTCACTCTGTTATTTTATTATTTTGCAGGAACTAGATGATTTACAACCGGGTGGGACGTCAAGAAGTGGAGGAGTTTGGCAGCACTGTTCAAGATTACTTTGTGCTTACTAAAGTATATTTGTATTTTGTGTATATATTTATATGAATTAAAATTAGAATTTTTGGATTTTACATTATGTATAGATGTTTATAAAAGTTATTTACTGGATTTTATCATATATTTTCTCAAAGAATTACTAACTATATAGTATATTACATTGTCTGACAGTCCAGAAATAAGATCCATTTCTTTAAATTGGAAGTGTAATAAAAGGTGCTAATTTAACAAGTAAAATGTGGAGTCCTCTTATTCCGTTGATTTGAAGAGCAATAGATTAGATGGGTAACCTTTTAGGAGAACATATCAAGAGCACTTTGGCCATTACTCAACATGGCTGCAGAAATGAAAATAGCTTTTGCAATTTTAGTTGGAAACAACTCCATCACAAATGAGATACAAGCACCTCTAAAATCATGTCCCACCAAAATCACCTGCATTTCAGTCATTAATTAGTATTATAGATTATGTGGCTAAAAACAGACTCTAGGAATAGCTAGATGGTGTATGTTGTTGTTAAACATAAGTTAAAGTTTTTATCTTTACAACATAGAAAGATAGAACGAACCTTTTCTTTGTTTCCTAGCTTGTTGCAGAACTCAATAAGAGGTTTGACGTATTGTTCTATACTTGTAATGGTGTTTATATCACATGAGTTTGCTCCAGAACCTGCTAAGTCAATCACATCCACTTTAAATCCAGTTTCTTCTAAAAGTGTCATTGTCTTGTACCAACACTAGGCACCAAAGCCACCTTCATGAACAAGGATGAAATGGTTGGTTTCCAATGACTCCATCTTCAGTTCCTAATGAAAATAAGTAACTGGTCAAGTCTCAAAGAGGCAAATATATATATCAGAGCAACTGTGGAAGGGGACTCTTTCTTTGACTTATCATTCCCCTTACCTTTTTGGAAAATACAAAGGCATGTCAATTGTGATTCAAGTTTTCTGCTATATTAATTATGTCTTACAATGAGAAACTAGTAACAACTTCAAGAAAAAATTATGTCCCAGTGAAATCAAACTTAGCTAAAAGCTATTTTAGGGGTTAGAAAAGGATAGTTATTGGTAGGGGTGTTAAAAAAAATGCAAAAACCGAACCGAACAAACCGAAAAACCGGTTTGAAAAATTAAAAAAACCGAATTCTGTTCGAGAAAAAATAAAAAGAGGTTAACCGAAACTAGTTTTTTGAACCGGTTAATATATAAATATATATATATATATTATATATATATATATATATAATATATTATATATATATATATATATTATTTAAATAACAATAAAATAATAATTATATATTAATAAAATAATATATTTTTAATGTATTGTTAGTAGTGGTAAATGGATATATATGAATGTTTAATTTTTATTTGGATATGTATTATTTATATTTACATTTATTTAGGAAAAATAAAAAAAATAATTTTTATAAAAAAGGGAAAATCGGTTAACTGCTTTTTTTTTAAGCGGTTAACCAGTATTTCGGTTAACCAAAAACCGGTTTTTCTGTTCGGTTTCGGTTCGGGAATTTTTCTAAACCGAAAAACCGATTCGGTTCAAAAAAATGGTTAACCGCTTTTGAACACCCCTAGTTATTGGACAGTTGACTGGAACTGGAACTTCTTTTAAAACGTTGCTTCTTGAACCAGAAGGCGCATATATTTGGAATTGATTGTTGTTGGATAGAACGACCATTTATGGGTGACCACCAAACAAAGAGCTGCGCAAGAGCTTGTTCAACTATCGAACAATCTTGATCGATAACTTTAGGCTTCCGTCTTCTCTTGTTGTCATTGGAACGGAAGATGGCAAAATAGGTCTTGTATTGAAAGAAGTTAAGAAATGCAAAGGGCAGAATGCATACTTCTTGGAGGCTTTCGTAGGAACCTCATCATCTTCTTCACAAAGTTACACAACATATTGTGTTTCCTATTTAATCTGCATGAGAAAGTTCACACAAGTTAAGTATTACAAGGAAATCAATCAAATGACATTAATGTATTATGCCGTATGTGGGTGGTGTAGTATAACATATTATGACCTAGCGCCTTAGCCGAATTTCGATTGGGTTTACGCTTAAATCCACCTTGTGAATTGATTACTCTATGAGTTGGACTATCCTACAAGTTAAGCTAAATCGGGTTCCAGCCCACTAGCTCTCCCAAAATAGGAATTAGAATCTCATTTACTTTCACGTCAATCAAGATCCAAATCTTATTTGAAGTGGTAACCCTAATCTAATACAGGAAATTCTGAAGGCTTCATTTCTAACTACCAAATAGACTTAGAGTCCACTAGACCCAGCCTCCTTGGTTCACTATATAAACATGGGCAAAAGCCTCTCATTTATCATTCTGAAATCACCCATGCTTTAGTTCCTAAATTCTTGCTCCCAAGAATAACGGTTTTCCCTTCGTAAAGTTTAGTTCCGACTACTTTACCACCTTTAGCCACCGCAAAGCTGTGCTTCAGCCACTTTGTGTTAGTCTAGCCCTAGCTGCATTGTTATGGTAAACCCTTCCCGCTCTCAGCCTTCACTAAATACCTTTAATCTTGCTAATTTGAGCGTCGGAGTGCCTACGACAGACACCACATTGTGTCACCCAAGCCTTCATGTCCTTTCCCTCTTGTGTAGGTTTACAGATTGTTAGTGACTCACTTCTTACAAAATCTATCCTTTTCGAATTAACTGCAAATTTTACCATCTACAATGATCCATAGCACCGTGAACATGAATTTAGTGATTTAATAATTCATAATTATAGATCCAAAGGGTCAAAAATTGAAGAGCACGTGAGGTTCAAACAAATACCTTTTTTTTTTTTTTTTTAAATAACATTTAAAACTCATAGTTCTCCCTTTAAATTGCTTAAAAAATCAACGGTTACTTTTCACCCCTCCATTGAATTTAAACTTTTCGTTAAATCCAAATATGATTTTTCATACCAATTTTGTACTTAACGTAGTTGTTGGTTGATGGAAGAGTATAAAAAATATAAAATATTATTCAGTATTAAAATCTTGAGTTTACGAAACATAAAAGAAAAAAAAAATTGAATATATAAATATTTACCATTTTATAATTGTCAATGATTCTTCACAATCATAGATGAAATAAAATAGGAGATGATCTAATTCTAAATTTCAAAAAATTAAGAAAATAGAGGTAAAGAAAAAACATATTAAGTCTAAAGGTAATTTGGTATTAATTGGGGTTTGAAAAGAGATTTTAAAATATAACAGGGTGTCCTTAACAATGGGGGTCATGACGGCCAAGTGTCGTCCAAGAAATTCCAAGAACTACTGTATCAAGAAAAGAAAAGAAATATAGTATATCTTACGGCCTAGCTCGTCCAAGAAATTCCAGGAAACTACTGTATCAAGAAAAGAAAAAGAAATATAATACATACTTCCAGAAACTTTGGTAAGAAAAACACGATCATATATATATGCAGACCTAGCTTAAAACATGCTTGGTTCTTTTTATTTCGAAATCCAAACCAAAATCCAGTCCCACCCTAGTTCCCGAGGGTGCTGGAATTGCGGCCAGAATGGTCCCAGTTCGCAGACTTGCCCCAACAGCGACTTTAAGCTCTCGGGGATTCGGGTTGGTTTGCTTCGGAGAGTCTCAGCACGGGTCATCTCCCACCACAATCTACGTTTATCGCCCGAGAAGTCGGATTATGGATGGGTACTCTCCGAAGATCTTGAATGGGCCGCCGACCGAGAGAAGGTTCGTAAGTTTATTTTGTTTTTAATGTAATGTGTTGTTTAGTTGAAGTTATTTTAAGGTAATTAAAAGAGTATTTTATGTTAAAAACTCTTTAAAATATTATTATTTGTATTGTTTAGTTTAATTATCCATGAAATATTAAATAATTAACTTAGCTTGTCCTTGTGAGGTCAATGAGAGAAAGTTATACATCTTGTTCTTTGTAAACTTCTTTATGTCCCAAGTTTGCCTAAAATTAAGGCCGAACACTGTGCATACCCAAGATTTGCCATAACGATAAGTTGATACCCAAAAAGTTTTAAAACGACAAATAGATACCTTCCGTCATATTCGGTTAGTGATTTCTGTTTATTTAGTAAAAAGACTAAAATGCCCTTTAAAGTTTGAATTTTAGTTTTTTATAAATTTAAAAATTTCTAAAAACCCCTAGGTTTACAAATTTAACTAAATACTCCAATATATAAATTTTTGTAAAATAACAAAATACCCCCACCACCCCCAGTGCCAGATTCTGGCCGGAAAGTTACGTTACGACACAGACCCATCAGATCTGTGTCGTAACGTGCCGATCTTGCCTTTTCCGGCTAGATCTGGCCGAAAAAGGCCAGATTTAGTCGTCGATGCCGCAGATGGAGTTTTGCGGCGTCGACGGCCAGATTTAGCCGTAGATCTGGCCTTTTCCGACCAGTTCAGCCACGGATCTGGCCGGAAAAAGCCAGATCGACGCGTTACGACACAGATCCGACGGGTCTGTGTCGTAATGCAACTTTCCGGCCAGATTCCGCGGTGGTGGCCGGAATCTGGCACTGTGGCAGCAGGGGTGTTTTTGTTATTTTACAAAAAATTTATATATTGGTTATTAAGTTAAATTTGTAAACCTATGGGGTTTTTAGAAATTTTTAAATTTATAAAAAACTAAAATTCAAACTTTTAGGGCATTTTAGTCTTTTCACTAAATAAACAGAAATCATTAACAGAACATGACGGAAGGTACCTATTTGTCGTTTCAAAACTTTTTAGGTACCAATTTATCTTACGGCACCTGAGTAGTATAAGTCGTTCTCCCTAAATTAATATAGGCTTTGTAATTTCAAAAACATCTCATCTCTCCTATCATTAAAGAATTCATGAATTTTAATAATAAGATACTTTATGTGTGAGAAGTGAATTTAAATTAGTTCCACCTTTAGGTGTGCGAGTGGTTGGATAATGATATTGAGTATATATTCAAGAGTTCTGAAATCGAGTCACCTCGTTGCTAATAGAGATACACTGGTGGTCTAGGAGTATTCTAATCGTTAACGTCAGAGTTGAGAGTTAACTGGCCCTGCCAAAGCCCCCCTTAAAAAAAAAAAAAAACAAAAAAACAAAAAAAGAATTTAAATTAATTTACTTGATTGAAAAGGAAAACGCTTAGAAACAAAAATTTCTGTGTGTTTACAAGTTATTAATTTTAACTGTTTAAGAATTTGTAAAAACAAAATATGAAAATTTTATTTTCTAAAACAATTATAGAAATTATGATGATAAGTAGGGATGTTTTTTGATTGTCATGTAAAACGATTATACTTTTGTAGTATTCGTTTGATAATTACCATTGTTGGACTGAAAATAAAAAGGGCCCAGATCCAACCAACTAGGAATAATGGTAAAGCCCAAGACCTCAACCCAACACCCATGAAAAGGGCAAGTTGCAACCCACTTCCTTAAGAATGGGAATGTGGACATAAATTACCCAATCCAATAATCATGCCCAAAATTAAAATAAATTAAAATATTTAGATTATTTATAAATAAGGTCAATGTTCGGTTCTTTGCATGTAATTTGTAAATGAGAGAGTCAGAAAGAATTGCATATGGGCAGAGACGTAGTCAAGATTTTTAGTCAGTAGGGTCAAAATGATCAACTGTAAACCCAAAATCTTATAACTTAGATTTTTCTAACAATTTCTACTAACCCAATAAAATTTAACTCATAAACTCATAAAAATTCATCAAATCCAACTATAAATATCAAGCAATTAATTAATATATCAAAATTAAACCAAATCTCTATAACTTAAGATTTTATCAATTCTTTAAATCATTCAAAATTAACTCAATAATTAATCAAAATTTATCAAACTCAATTTAAAACAACAACTAATTAACCCATACCTCAATATAAATAAGATTAAATCAAAACTCATATCAAAATCTAAGAATTTAATCTTCCAATTCCAAACCCATTTATTAAACTCAATAAAAACTCATAACTCATGATTTTTTATCAATTAACAAAATTAAAATAAAAGAATTTTAAGTTGAAAAAAAATTGAGCAACATCTTACTTTGTAATTCAAAGGAGTAGCATTTTTTAAGTAATCCAACCAAAAGAAAAAGAAAATATGAGAGAAAAAGAGAAGAAATTAAGAAGAGACCAATGATAAAAAAGTGTTAATTAATACAAGTTTTTGAGGGGTCAAATAAATTCTATAAAGGATTTTTTTTTTTTTTTTTCAAAATTTGAGTGGGTTCAATTGAACCCACATATGTGAGTGTGGCTATGTGCCTGCATATGGGTATTAACAGTTTCACTGGTTTATCAGAGGTCATATGATCAAAATCCCACCCCCAAGGTTTGAGAGTTTTCTTTATATTCGTAACGATCCAATTGAGTGACGCATCGCTTAGCCTTGTAATTGGGTTGATAAGCATTTGAGCGTCCTCCCCTTTTACAAGCTGGTTTTTGACGGTGAGCTATACCCGATGTGTGCTTAACAGTACTTATAAAATAGAGTAAGAGATTAAAAAGTCTACAAACGCTATGCTTAAAGCCTCTTTAATGGAAATGAAATAGTTCTTTTTTTAGTCAAATGTGTAGATGTTTTGGACAATTCTGGTCCACTATTCTCTTTACAATTTTGAATGCTGTATGCCCTTTTGTTGCAGGCGATCGCCGTGCAATCTTGAAGAAGTTTCCTTTGTCAAGAAATATGCCTATTGAATTAGCCGGTTATGGTCGAGGATCATATTTCACCAGAGAAACTAGGAAAGAAAAACGTTCCAACCTGTTCGATATTGTAGAAGATGAAGTTAGTATCCTATTTTCTTCTGAAAACTTTAATTTACCGTAATTTTCAATTTACCTGGATAATGATTTAACTCTGTTTATTTTTCTTGTGTCTGTTTAAACCTTAATTATCTGGCAGTGGCTTTTACCATATAAATTCCTTTAGCATACAAGCCTAATGATGCATTATTTTAAATTTGTTTACCTATTTCAGGATACTTTTGATGCTACCGCTATGTCTCTTCTGCCTCCAACTGAATGCAATCACATCAAAGATGACACAAATCAAAAGCTCAAAATTAAATTCAAAAGATTAGCATACAAGCCTAATGATGTGTTATATTCTACGGCTTGTTTGTTAGTTTAATTGAAAAATATGATATGAAAACTATTTTAAGTTGAGTTGAGTTTGATTAAATCAAATAAGATAGGATTTTAATAATATGTTTGGTATAATATTTAAAAATTATATCTGAGTTGGATAAAATACTGAACATTGTTTGGTACATTTTTTGAAAATATTTTCCGAAAATATTTAAATTATTTTTAAGCTCCTACATTTGTTAATTTACTAAACACCCCTCATAATAAAAGTTTATAAATTAACAAAAATAACCTTCTCACTCAAGTCACTACCGGCCACCACCATCGGATGACAACCTACAATCGCTAGAATGACAAGCGACTGGCTGGTCGTGTACCGATCTGACATTTTTCGACTAGATTCATGATGTATCTGATCGAAAATAGTCAGATCTACGACCAGAATCTGGTGTATCAACGACCAAATCGGCGCACAATCAGCCAAATCGATCTGGCTGGTAGTGTGTCGTTCTGGTGTCGGTAGTTGTGGTCGACAATGGTTGCTGGCAGGTGGTGGTGGTCTTGGATAGATTAATTTTCAGATTGGAAGGAGTGGAAGGTAATTGTTTTGAGTTGAATAGAATATAATAATAGAAAACAAGTCCTACCCACTTTTCATCTTTAGACAAAATATCGTGTTTGAATCCTATTTGAGTTGTATTAATTTTCTAAATGAATTGGCCTAATAACTAAACAAACACATATTATGTTATTCAATCCAAATTGAATAACAAAAAAATGATTTGAAAGTGTGAAACAAATAGGGCCTAGTTTCTTAATTCAGGTTGATGCATGGTAATTGTTCTAGACATTATAAGTAATGTTCTGAACTATATTTAACAGAAATTATTTGTATACTTATCTTGCAATATCTTCATTACTATGCTTATGGAATGCAGAATAGTAATACGGGGGAGGAAGACGCGGAGTCATCAATTGGTTCTACCACTGGAACTGAGTACTACAGCTGCATAGCTGAACTAGACAATAACAACAATGGATTTAATGAGGCGTATCAGAGAACAAATGACTATTATAGAAGGGTAAAAGTGAAAGCAATAATGGAACTAAGAAATTCGTCGTTATTCCTTCGAACTATTTATGTTTAAGTTGTAATTAACTAAGCATTTTTTTTGTAGGTTACTTTGAAATGGATCTTTGTTATCAGCAACTTCGTCTGCGAGATTTTAACAGCCCTGTTTGAGCAGCTTTCCTCCCCACACCAATCTCATTATGCGCTAATCGGTATGACGATGTCTTTGGCTGCAACAATTATTTGTGTGATTGAGATTGTTTATAAGTGTCGACAACAAAAGGTTACTTGGAGAATAAGGGGCAAAATATATTGGTTTTATCATCCACCCCCAAGTCACAAGTGTTTTGGTACATTCAAGGATATTTTTGGGTTCGCTTGTGCCGCCCTTCAGTCGATTTCAGGGGTAATCAGTTACACGTTTTATCTTAAACATGGTAATAGTCCTGTCAAAATTTCTCTTTGCTCTGTGGTGTTTGCCCTTGGTCTATTGTGTTCCAAATTTTGTGATGAGCAAGAAAAGGTGGATATAGATTAAATGCGTGAGAATATTATGCTATTAGCTTGTTGTCGCATAAAAAACTATTATTTGTATATCTCTGTAAAGCACTTAGATAGTATTTTCACACTTTTATTCATTACCACTATCCATTTCAAACAACTGAATATTTCCCTCTTCTCTGTTTTATGCTGGTTTCTTTGTCCTCTTACCCTTTTTCTTCTTTAATATCTTGTCATTTCCCTCTTGTGACGATTGCAATCACTTTGTTGCTATGAATTAAGTAGTGTGTATATTCAAGGGCAGTTGTCTAGTCTATTAATAATTTCTGTTCACAAATGCCCTGGAGGGAAGGTTTGGTACAGGTTTTGAAGTGTGAGGAATCTTTTTATACTTTTGGGGGCCTCTAGGGATAATAGCCTCAATACATTTATTAAAAGTTATCGGCTGCAATGACATACCCGACCCATAAAATTATATTTTCATTTGAGGAAAATCATAAATTATTATTAGACATTCACCAAATAGTTTCCGTTTTTGGATTATGTGATTAATTAGTGATAATTGATAGCGAAGTTTATATATATTTGTTACAAGAGTTTTCAGACTAATTTACGCTTATTTTAATTAATCTCCCAACTTCAAACAAAGGTTTTCGAAAAAAGACAACCCGAACAAAGTCGTTAACGAAAATATGTAGTAGCTATTTGGTGGGAGAGGTGAAGGGTAGTGGAAGGAATAAAAAGTGGAGTGGAAAATGTAGCTTACGTTTTAAGCAGGAAGTAGCAATGGATGGATCTGCTCAGCTGGCATTTCACATGTATCAATGCTATTAGGGGAGCATTTGGTTAGGGGTTATGTGAGATTACTGGGGTTATGTCATCTTATATTAGTTGATTACCATGTTTGGTTGTCAAGTAATATAAGATACCGGTAATGGTAGTATCGGAGGTAATCTAATTACCTCCATTTTCTTAGGTATTCTGAGATTACCAGAGTTATCTTTTTTTGTTACAACTTTATCCCTTATTAATAAAAATTTTGGACAATAATACCCCTACTTTAAAACAAATTTACATTAATATCCTATTTCAATTTTACCCTTGTTTAATTAAAATTTTCGACAATAATGCCCTTATATTTATAATAATTTACAGACCACCACTGGATCCCAGCCACCACCACCACTGCCACCCGGCCACCACCGCTGACAGCGGGCCAACCACCACAGACCGCCGCTGAAAAATTGCCGGAGTCCCTAAAAAAGAACGAGATTTTGTGGGAGGCTTCGCTATGGCCGGTTTTCGGCCATATTGATGGCTGAAAACAGCCATATCAGGCCAGATCTGGCTGAAAAAGGCCAGAACTATTCTGCATGGCCAGAACTATTCTGGCCATTTCCAGCCAGATCGATTTAACTGGCCGTTAACGGCCAGATCTGGGCAAGATCTGGCCATTAACAACCAGGTCCATGACCGTTAATGGCTAGATCTGGCCTGATATGACTGTTTTCGGCCATCAATATGGCCAGAAACGGCCATATCGGTGCCTCTTGGTCACAGTGAGGTACTCACGGGGACTTTCGAAAACTTCCGGCGGTGGTTTGCGGTGGTGGCAGGCGGCGGTAGGGGGTGGGGATGATTTCATCATAAATTAATGTTTTATATAAACGGGGGTGTTTTAGCTAAATCTGAAATATTGGGGGTTAAAAAAATTATTTAAAAATTAATAATAAAAATAATATTATATTAATATTTAAAATGGGGATAATTTAGTAATTTAAATAATATACCCATCAATTTATTCCCATAACCAAACATATTAATATAACATCAATAATGCTACGGACACCGACATTTTTACACCGAAATCTTGTACCGGTCTACGTGTCCCGTGATTGATACTAGCAAATCAGACACGTTTCACGTTATTAAATTTTTTTTCCAGTGAACGGCCGTTCATCAAATATGGACGACCGTTTGCTTACATGGGACCCCGTCCATATTATATGGACAGGAGTCCATTTACTACGGACATGCGTCCCCATTTAAAGGACGCCCGTCCATCAGTAAAATGAAATAAAAAAATATAAACAAAATTAAGGAGCGGCCGTCCATAACTTGGGGACGGTCGTCCCAAAAAATGGATGGGCGTCCACATATAATGGACGGGAACAATGCTTTTAAAAAATTAAAAAAAAAAATTGGACGCGAGTCCACAAGGAATGGACGGTCGTCCCTCGTGTGCCATCAGTTTGATACAACAAAGAGAGTCAGAATTCCTAAAGATTTTTGACAGCATCTAGGGAAGCAAGGTCGTTTCTAACAGCATTTTTGAGAAAGAAATTGATAAAAGAAAAATTACAGATTTTTTACCGCATCTAGGGGATGAGGCGAGTGCTGAGGTGGTAGAGTTGAAGAAGAGTCTGGGAGAGAAGGGAGTGAAATTGGAGGGAATAGAGAAAGAAATTGATAGGTTGAAGAGTGAGAAAGTTGATAGTGAGAAGAAAGTGAGGGAGTTGGAAAGAAAAGTTGGGACTTTGGAAGGGAGGGAATTGGAAGAGAAGAGTAAAAGCGTGAGAGTTGAAGAGGAAATGAGAGAAAAAATTGATGACAAAGAGAGGGAAATTAGTGGGTTTAAGAAGAAAGTTAATGTTATGGAGTCTGAATTGGATAAGTGGATAGTTGAGAAGAAGTCAATGGAGGGAAGTTTGAAGGAATCAGAGAGCAAATCCAAGGAAATGGAGGCCAAGATTACTGAGTTGGAGAAAGAGATTGATGAGGCGAAGACGTGATTAGTGGACTCAAGGAGAAGATAACTTCCAATTTTGATTAAGGGACAGCCGTCCAGAAATGGTGAACGGCTGCCCCTTTATTTTATTTAAAATTTTATTTTTTTAAGTCCACACGTTAGGGACGCCCGTCCACAAGTTAGGGATGGACGTCAAATTTTTTTATTTTTTTATATTTACATTATGGACGGGCATCCTTTAAATGGGGACGTCTATCCGTAGTAAATGGACCCCCGTCCAGATAATATGGATAGGAGTCCATGTAAGTGAACGGCTGTCCATATTTGATGAACGGCCGTCCATATTTGATGAACGTCCGTCCATATTTGATGAATGACCGTTCATTGGAAAAAAATTTAATAACGTGAAACGTGTCTGATTTACTTGTGTGAATCACGAAACACGTAGGCCGATACAACATTTCGGTGTAAAAATGTCAGTGTCCATAGCATTATTGATATAACATACCCACCAGCTAACCAAACACATTTTCTTAAAGATTCTCAGTAATCTTCTAAGGTAATCCATCTTTCTAGTAATCCAACATTCCCAGTAATCTAAAAACGCCCCTTTTTTTTCTCCCTTCTTAACTAATTATTGTTATTATTTTTCTAATTTTAATTAGGAAAATTAAAACAAAATCTTATTCCAAAGTTGCTAATTATGTGGTTGCGGTTTCTGTATAGTGTTTTGATGGTTGTAGATATGATTAGATGACTCGATTTGACCGTCCATCTTCTAGGCTTCGTTTGGCTCACATTTGGGAATACTACTATTAGTATTCCCAATAAAGTTAAACAGTAAAATTGTAAAAACTCACAATATTATTCAACTTTTTTTAAACCCCTTAAATTTGTTAAAATAATTAAATACCCCTAAATATTTTTTTAGAAATTGCAAAAAAACCCCAGCAACCATATTTACCAGATTCCGGCCACCACCGTCGGAAAATGGCCAAAATTTGGTATAATGGCGCACTACCGGCTGAATCTGGCCGTTAGTGCGCCGATCTAGCCTTTTTCGGCCAGATCTAAGGCCAAAGATCTGGTCGTTGATGACCAGATCTTTGGCTGTAGTCAGTCGTCAACGACAGCCAACACATGGTTGTTGTTGACCATCAACGACGGCCGTATCTTTGGCCGTCGTTGACGAGCAAATACGGCCAGATATCTGGCCGTAGATCTGGCCTTTACCAGCCAGATCCACCGTAGATCTGGCCAAAAAAGGCCATATTGACGCAAGACAAGCAAGATCCAGCTTGTCATGCACCGATATGACGACTCCGGCCACCCTTCGGCGGTGGTGGCCGACTGTTCATATGTTGGCGGGTGGGTTAGGGGTGTTTTTGTTAACTTTTAATGTTTTATTATACGGGTTTTTAGTAAATAAACAAACATAGGGGGTGTTTAGAAATAAACAAATATAGGGGGTATTTTTATTTATTTTCAAATCCTACATCGTAATACCCACCAAATTCAATTTTTTTTTTAACTTTTTTCCAAAAACTTTTCTAAAAAATGTAAAAAAGTGAACCAAACGGAACCCTAACATTTTTCAAAATTATTAGACTTTAATAATTACTTGGGGATTAGGATTTGACGAAGAAACCTCTCAATTATATTAATATTACTTTAAAAACAATAAAATCAAAATATTTTCAGCTAAATATATTTTAAATCAAATAGAACCCTATGATCACATAAAATACATCTCAACAAAATTAAAATTACATAATAATGTTCGAAACGTAAAATGAAAAAGAGTAATGCTACAGTCACCGAAGTAGTGCACCAAATGACGTGGCAAAATCATGATCGTTGATTAATTTTAACTTAATATTAATCGACGGTCAAGATTTTGCCACGTCATTCGGTACATGAATTCGATGTATAACCTTCGGTGGCTGTATCCCTTCCGAATAAAAAATGATTGATAATGAGCATATGTAGGGGTGAACAGTTTCAGATACTTTGCATTTTTTGAGGGAACTGGAATCAAAACCGCATAGTGCAGGTTTCTAAAAAAAGGAACCGGAATCGAAACAGGTCAATTTTGGTTCTTAAATTCAAGGAATCGGAACCTGAAATGCAGGTTCTGGTTCCTTACCTGGGTACCCTATAAAAAATCAATTACCCCCTATTAGTTTAAAATGACAAAAATACCTTAAAAGTTTACAAATACACTCCTGAGAAATTAAGAAAACCTACATTTAATAGTTTTCAACTTTTAATTACTCATTCATTTGTGTCCAATGTGACTCATAAATCCTCTAATCTCTAGGCAACACTTGAATTCAATCAATTCACCACAATTCAAAACCAAAACACAAACAGGTTCCAAGCCAGTTTCAAGCCAGGTATCCG